TATATGATGTTTGATGACTATGGTTTTATTATAAAATTAAAACAAAAATTTTAGACTGTGTTTTTGAGAAGTTATATCTGATTTGGATTTAAACAAACAATCAGGACAAAAACAACGTACTGAGATTAGGGAAAAAAAACTTGAATATATAGACATTTTAAAGTCGTTACACCCCCGGACCCCCAAATTACCGATTTGCTACTCCAACTTAGTATAAATAGATGTTGGTTCGGATGTAAACTTTTGGTTTGGTTTTGTTCAAAGCTTCTTGGTAAAAATGTATATTTTTCCTTCTCAATTGAAGTTTTGAGTTCTATCTATAAATTGAAAATTTCTTTTTCAAAGGTTTATTTTTTTTTTTCGTTACTTTTTTAAAATTAAAAACCATGTAGGTTCAATTTTTTTTCATTACTTTTTTAAAATTTAAAACAATGTGGGTTCAATTTGAGGTTCAGTTTTTTTTATTACTTTTATAAAATTAAATTTAGGTTTAGTTCCAAAGTATGCTTGTAATTTACGTAGAAATATATTTAGTTATCAAATTGCTTATTATAATCATTCAATATTGTTTTTGTTTTTAAGCTTGTTAAGAGACAATCATTTTGATACCCATGTCACCTTGAAAATGAAATGAGCAAATATGTGGAAGTCCAAAATCTTTTCCTTAGCTACCTTCTATTTGATTATCTCGTCTCTTTCGCAACGAAATTAATAAAAACAGTAAAACAAAAAAGTTGACGATAGGGGTGGATGCAAGAATACATAGTAAGTGTTACCGAGGTTGAAATAGATGTTGCCGATGCAGGAAAAATAAGTAAAAAGTTTGAAAAATTGAAATGTTTTCCACTACAAACAAAAAAAGCAAGTGTTGCCGATATCACACTGAAACACCTATTAAAACCGCACATGGTTGACGTCAAAGTAAAATCGTCGATTATTTACAAACTCAAGCGTTGTTATGTTAAGATCCTTAAATATCCAGTTATGTATGTCTTATTTGAATCCGGCTTCACTAGATATCCATTTCCCATACAAAAATTCATACATGAACGACTTATCCAAAATCCAATTCTTCAAAATTCGATCGTCAAGATTGATACTATTGATACCACATAGTATATGTCTCACAAAATGAACTCATAAGATCTTCAAGTATGTTTAACGTGTGGTTGGTGCCTTATCCACAACACAATTTCTCACAATCACTGCTAACTTGATGAAATGGTGTTTACACTAAGAGAAAAAGAGAGAATCAGAGAACAAGAGAAAAATAAAGGAAATAAGACAGAAAAAGAGAGAATTTTTCTTTCTTTTTTCATGTTGGACCGTAGCCGAAGCCACACCATAAAAATAAATTTTTTTTTTTTGGAAATGGTGTTCATGTGTTGTAAGGGTGCTAAATTACCCTTACATCTAATTCGCGAGTTAAAAGAAAGAAAAAAAAATAGAAAAGAAAGTTATAAAAAAAAAGGAAAATAAAATTTTCTTTTGTATTTCCGAGTTGAAGAGAAATGAAAAAAAATTAATTATTTTGTTATTCTTTTCAAATCCTTCGGAAGGAAAATTAGGAGGAAAAGTGATTCTTCAGTTTCACTCTACTTCATTTTTTTAATGAAATTCAAAAAAAAAACAATTTCTTTTATTTTCTTCTTATTTTCATATATATTTTTTTTCTTATCTCTCGTTAAGTTGAATTCGGAAACGAGGTGTTAGAGATCCTCTCAGGAAAGCATAACGGCAAGAGAAAAATATATTGTACATACTACATAGTATTACTGTTGTGAATTTTGCTATTTCATATATCGGTTTGCTTTAAAATCAAATTTATTCAAAATATTTTGTAAATCGGTCTCCAGCCGCAAAATCAAATTTATCCAAGTGACTCAAAGTACACAAGTTCGCTACTTAAAGTTAAACTAACTTTTGTCGTACCTAACAGTCTTGAGAACCGGCATCTGGATCTCTCTTTTCTGGTCTCGGCATCTTCCTCGTTGATCCTCAATACAGAGAGGAAGAAGAAGAAGAAATCAATAGGAAAATGAATGTTGCTGGGGTGGTTGGTGGTGGTAGTGGAGGCGGAGGCGGAGGAGACGCCGATCTCAAATCCTCATCACTCTCTGAATGGACCTTCACTGTATCCCGCCGATACCAACACCTCCTCGACAAGTCAACTCCACACGTCCTCCACCGTTGGATCGGTTTCGCCGTCGTCTTGTTCATCTACGCCCTTCGTGTTTACTTCGTTCAAGGTTTTTACATCATAACTTACGGCCTCGGAATCTACATCCTTCAGCTCTTCCTCGCTTTCCTTTCCCCTCAGGTTGATCCAGAACTTGATGGTCCGTCTCTACCTACCAGCCGATCCGAAGAATTCCGCCCCTTCGTCCGCCGCTTACCTGAATTTAAGTTCTGGTGCGTCTGTTTTCACTTGCTCTGTTCCTAATCGTATTTGTGATTTAGGTCTCTTACAATGCGCCTGTGATTGTAGATTCTCCCCTCATTTTAGCTATACATTGACTAATACTTAGTGGCAAATCAAGATTGAATTACCTGTTGCATTTTAAACACCATCAATTATATTTTCGTGATTTCACAGTTGAGAAACCCTAATTGAGGTTAACGTGCTTGAATTAGGGGAATATTGGAATACTAGTGGTATTTAGTTCTAAGTATAAATGATCTAATGTATGATGCTATTGTGATTTCTGGAGCTTACCTGATCAAACGGTGCCATTTGGGCCAGAATCAGCAAACTAATTAATGTAAATGACAAGTTGATATCAATTGATGACTTTGAAACTGAGAAAACAAGAATCTATGCGTCTTCTTTGTTTACCATTTGATGTAACTATAGATGATTAACTGATCTGCTGGGAACACAAAACTGATTTGGCTTTGAGCCCAATTATACAAACACTAGAAATTATGTATCAAGTACTCCACAATCCACAAATCTAGCATGCTGGAATCTCAACGGAAAGTAGAATCTGAAAATCAAGAACTCCACATGTATATCACCTTAAATGCAAGATAATGTAAAGTAAAATATGAAAATCAAGAACTCCACATGTATAACACCTTAAATGGAAGAAAATGGAAAGTAGAATTTGAAAACCACAAATTTTTTGTTGATGAAATATAATATCTTCTTCTCTTTGATCGCAGGTACTCGGTTACAAAAGCATTTTGTATCGCCTTTACACTTACATTCTTCAGTATGTTTGATGTGCCTGTATTTTGGCCAATTCTATTGTTCTATTGGCTTGTACTCTTTGTTTCAACAATGAAGAGGCAAATAATGCATATGATAAAATATAGATATGTTCCCTTCACTTTCGGAAAACGGGTACCTACAAACTCCCTCTTTTGATTTTCTTTCCACAATCTCATCTTTTTCTATCATTACTTCCATAAAACCCTACACTTTTTACATTGTCTTCTTTTTGCAGCGTTACAATGGAAAGAAAGCATCTGTGGTTGATGATGGAGACTCTGGTCGACCTTGAGCCTGTGGTAAGTGGTGAGTGGTGAGTGGTGAGTGATGAGTTCACCTCAAATATATCTATCTTCTTTAGGGAACCAGGGATTTGTGAAAGCCATAGAAAAAGTGTATTCTTTGTTGTAGCATTTTTTTTTTCATGTAATATTTGTAGTTCCTTTTTTTTTTTTTGAAATTTTGATCAATCACTTTTTGGACACCTTTTTAATTTATAAATTAATAAAAGTTTCTTTTATTAGCAACACAAAAAGTGTTTTTCTATTCTGCAAAAGGGTTATTCTTCCAACAACCTCTGAGCTGATAATTGATAGATCGATGGCTTCTAAGACTAGAACCGATATTGGTTGGGTGAGTGGTTCGAACCAAGTGGTGCACCTTTGTGGGTTAGGTTAGGTTAGGTCCCATGGGGTGGGGTATTTGGGACCAATAAAGATTGTAGAATCTATATTCAAAGAGGATGATTTATGAAATGTAAGGCTAAGGCATGCGATTGGAGATTGGTATTACAGAATTGTCCTATTGTATGTGTCCCTAGAATTAGAAATGGCAAGGGTTATTATTGTTGTGGTGGGGAGACCATGCAACTGTTGCCCATATGGGTATGGTCCTTGGGTGGGTGCCCCTCTTCCCTTTTGATTTGTACTTGTCAAACCTTTCCTTTATTTCCCCACATTTCCACTCAAAGTACTATTCATTTATCCTCCAAAAATACCCTAATAATTATTTGTCAAAGATTCATTATTATTTTTTTTTTCTGAATTAACGACAATTTCTTCTATAAGCAACTCAAAAAATTGTTTTCTTTTCTGCAAAAGGGTTATACTTATTACTTACCACTTTACCAGCAACCCCACCTGATCCACATTACGCATACAATATAGTCCATGCATGAATGACATAAGGGCCTAACTAGTGCACAAACTTCATTTCTATCAGATATAGTTTATTAACGAAAACAAGATCATTTTATGTATTATTGTGTTAAAATTAATTTTGAAAGTAACGATGATCATATTTACTTTTTTCTTTTCTTTTCAAATTATGTATCTCGACATGTTGTCAAGCATTAGCTAGGATTCGTATCTAGAGGCACAGGACCACTGTCTTACCCTGCCCCTCCATTTCAGCTGGCATTCAAGGGCAACTGTCACACACAGGACCATAGATATAAGCCCTCTTTTTCTATTGCTTCCTTAAATTTCCCACAAGTTGGGTAAATTACACCATTTGTGGATATGTTTTCTTCTAACTTATCAATACGTCCACAAAAATAACTTTAAACCTTTTCTATCACTAAAAATAAACTTCGTTAAGCCCTCAAATAAACTCATTGCGATCATTTTACCCTTTCACTGATTTTACTATCAACATAAAATTGCGTAAAAATGATTACAAAATATCTACCTATTTTATATACAAGAAAAAGATACTACGAAAAACCACACTCAATGAACAAGTAGCCCCAGAAACACACGAACACAAGGTCGGGCATATCAACCGCATGCTTCACCCGAAACTTTTCTACATAATTGCAATGACCACACCAACAAACACACACTACAGTTGTACTCCGTTAACTTGTAAGGACCATAGTCTCCCCCGATTAAGACAATGGGACCCACGTGTTTTCCAAAATCTAGCATTTGGGTTTCCTACTAGCTATATCCATCAGCAACACTCATACAAATTCATTTTTTCATGTGTGTTTCAGTGCATCAATTAACAAATAACAAATGGAGGGACTTCCTATGTTAGCTTGTCTTATACAACACACCTTAAAAGGTCTATGCACCTGTTCTTCATCAGATAACATTACTTCCCCCAAATGGGTGTATGCTGTTTTCTGGCGAATCTTGCCTCGAATCTACCCTCCTCCAAAGTAATCACCAATCACAATCCAATAAATGTTATGTGATTGTTGTTCTTGGTGTTTTAATATGTTATTGTTTGGACTTTGGATGCAGGTGGGACAATGAAGGAGGTGTTCTTGATCGAGCAAAAGGAAACAAACGTAACTGGTAAAAAAAAAAGTTTAAAATTTATCAGTCTTTAACGTGTGATTTCTTATACTTTTGGTTCTTGGTGATGTATAGGATTCTTGTTTGGGAAGATGGGTTTTGTGATCTTGATGAATGTGAACGAATTGGGAACGACGATGGGTTCTTGAAGGGTAGATTTGGACGTGATATCTTCTTCAAACTGTCCCATGAAGTTTACAATTATGGAGAAGGGTGAGAACTAAGAACACCAACGACATCGTTTTTATGTTGAAGAATTTGACAAAGATTTATGAAAGTTTTTTTGAGTGGCATGCAGATTGATAGGGAAAGTAGCTGCAGATAACTGTCACAGATGGGTGTTTAAAGATGGATCAAATGAGCAGAGTACTGATCCAAGCTTTCTTTCATCATGGAATGCAACTATTGATCCTGTAAGTAAAGACCCTCATTTGATTTCATCTTCATGAAACTTTCTTGTTATTTGATTGCTTTAATTCGTTACTTTTTTTTGTAAACAGCAACCAAAAGCTTGGGACTTTCATTTCAATTCAGGGATTAAGGTAAGCGAATTTAACTGTTTCCTTTAAAAAATTGCTTTTAATGAATGATAATAATGTACGAATTAATTAAGATCGTTTCTGAATGAACCAGACGATTGCAGTGATATCTGTCAGAGAAGGTATTATTCAACTGGGGTCTTTTGATAAGGTACAATTTTTAATTGGAAAAGTACAAGTATATATGTTGTGGAATGTACAAGATTTAATGCAGAAGGTACACCACTTGTATACAGATTCTTGAAGATCTGAATCTAGTATTAACCATTCAGAGGAAATTCAGCTACCTACGTAGCATTCCGGGATTATTCCATATTCAGCGACCGTTTTCCACCGTACAAGTACAACAATGCCCGTACAACCCACTGAAGCACAAAACCATTGGATCCGAGGAGGCTCAACAAGTAATCGGGTCAAAAGTCAACATGAATGCTGGAGAAAGTCAACATCACAAGGGTCCTGTTTGGTCATTGGGTTCGGGTTACAATACGCAAGAGAATGGGCCACCATTTTGGCCGATTCCACCCCTCTTGCCGTATAAATTCGGATCTCAATATGACCCGATCCGGATTCAGAATGATGGTGTGGGTCAGTGTTTGGGTGATAAGATATTTAACGTCAAAGATCCGGTTCAAGAAAGGAAACCTGGTTGCTTCTACCCGAGTGCTGGGTTAGTTGTGGAATTAGGGTTTGGGACTAGAAAGGTAGCTCAAGAATGTGATGTAAAAGTAAAATCTCAATTAAGTTAATAAGGAGAAATTTGCACTTATTTGGATATTTGGATATTGATCTTATTTCTGGATGTCTTTTTATTTTATAATAAAATTGAAACGGAGTTTACAAAAAAATTCAACTCCCGTAAACGAAACTGCATCTCAAAGAGTTATCTCGGAACAATGAATGATTAACAGCATACTTCATTTTTGTGTAACCTCAATTTATGAATTTATGAGTGAGCATGAAATAACACGGGGGTTTTAATCACATTTCCACACATTTATGTTAGGAATAGCAACATACTTTCAAAAAAAAAAATCTTATTTCTTCTTATTGCCATTTTTTTGGTTTTAAGTTTTAACCCTAATAACTAAATACACAATGCTATCACTACACATCAACCGGAAATACATTGTTATTTCTTAAATTTAATGACGCTATTATAACCACGTAATAATATCTTATGTATATGTTTGTATGTGTCTTTACTTTAACTTACTTTGATTGTTTGTTTGTAACTTTGTATCTATATATACATTTTACTTATACTTTCGTGTGCTAACTTATTGTCACATTACCAGACTAAGATCAATTTCTTCTATTAATCTTCACTGCATAATATTAAGATGAAGTTCTGTTTTAAAGCAACTTACTAATGGTATTAACATATTCTTTTCTTTCATGTTCTACAGGATTTGAGAGTTGTACGAAGGTTAATTCTTTAATGATACACACATTCAAAAAGGTGGAAAATTTGCTACCGATTTTGACAGTGTCACAGATATCAAGTAATGCACAAGTGCAAGTGCTGAACTGGGATCAAAGCGTTTCAACCACAACTATTATATTGTAAAAACTTTATGTTCTTTGAACCTAAACTTATCTGATTGTTTAGAGGGTCTCTGAGTTATAGCCTTGGCAATCAACGCCAATTTTGTAATTACTTTAAAAGAAAATTGGAGTTCTTAAATTGAGACAAAACTTTTCTTCTATTTTTGCAACTTCACCGAGTTAATTTACCAATGCTTGAAATATTTTAAAAGGGATCGAGGTTGTAGGTAATTTGGTCTATGCATTTACCCATATGGGTTGGCAACAATGATTTTTTTTTTCGATTTTCACTTTCTTGATAACCTTATTTGTGCTTCCTGGATTTTCTTTTCACAGTAAGTTATAGAGCTTAGTGTAAGAAATATCAATTTTATTTCAGCTATTTGTTTTGTTTTTCTATAACAACATTTGTTTTGTTTTTCTATAACAACATTGTGTGTGTGTGTGTTTTGTCATTAAGACATTGTACTTACAAAAGGTACCCAATGATGGCATTGTTCTTTCGAAATGTTTGAAATTTTGTTGGTATTTCAATGACATTTGTCTAAGTGGTTAGATTTTTCAAAATACAAAGATATAATATGACGAAATGAAAGAAAAATGCTATAATAAACAGATATAGGAAAGTAGGTTGCTATTTCTTACAATTATAATTTCCAAATCACACGTCAAATGCAACAAAAAAACGTTTTACTTTGTACCAATTTTTATAATTATAGCATCCTATTTACATTTTTACTTATATAGTTAAAAAAAATTCAAAGTACAATGCAATAATTAAAACGAAACCTCCATCCCATGAGGAGCATGGACATCCTTTTAGTTATTAGTAAAGAGATTTTCTAATATGTACCCTAAGAGCAGATATAAGAAGTATTAATTAATCATAATTATTACTATAATTAAATGTGAAATGCATTAATTATAAAGATTATTAATAAATTTTATATTTAATTAATAATTCTTAGGGTACATACAAGTCATTTGTATTTGGATATATCATTTATTATTTATGGAAGGTTTATTAAAGTGAAAGCATTATAAAAAGGAAACATGGTAATCAATGCACTTTGTACAAATCAGCATCTGATATATACAGATGTCAATCAAATAACACAAATCACATGATCAATGACTTTGTTCTTTCCCCTTTTTCCCTGTTACACAAGATAAAAAAAAATAGATATATATGTTACTTTTTTAACTTAGAAAATTAGTGTTGTTTCCATTAAAAGGATGTACACGTTGGAGGCCCATTCCTTTCCTCAAAAAGATGTTTTGGACAGAAAATATCAAGGACCCCACAACGATATAACACTTTTTTACTTCTAACAAAAAGAAAAAAAAAAAATCAAACACCCCATATATCTAACAAATAAAACAATATTTTTACCTATGGGTTTGTTGGGTTGGGACCGGTTTTGATCGGGTAAGGTGCATCTGTGATTATTCCACATTTACATACTTGCCAAATTTATAATCTTTTCATGAGCAACGTACACATACAATCAAAATAAAAAAAACGTAATTGCTCAAAAAGGAAAGGGAAGAAGCACAGAAATATATAATTAATTCTATAAATAACTCACTCACCACAAGATTGTTAAGTTGTGTATCTTTGACGGCGGTGACGGCACCTTTGGTCCTCCGGTCAACGGAATCAGGCAGCATATCATCATCGGAAAGAAGAGAGTAACGGGGAGTCGTCGTCACCTTATTGTTAGACAGCAGCTTCCGTTTAGGAATATTTGCGAACCGGAACTCTTCCTTGGTCAGATCTGAGAACTTGTTGAGTCCAAGCTTTTGGGAATGTTTACCCTCAGAGTTGTGGTTTTCTATGTACTTGAGGTTGTTTTTAAAGATCCGAAACCTCTTCTCCTTCTCCCCAAGCATGTTGTAAAGCTTACCATGTTTCACCACCAGGACTCGTCCATAGCTTCGACATCCTCGTCTGTGCGCTTCTGGGTGGCAGACGAGACCACGAAGAGACCAAAAACCAAGAAAATGGCGATTAGAAGGAGCTTCATTGTTAAAGAAAGAGGAGAGGAGAAAGCTAAGGTCGATATGGAGTGGAAGAAAAGGTGAAGGGAAGGAAACAATCTATACTAATAAATAAAACTCATTTTCTGTCACATGTCATGTTCTCATTAATTTGGACACATGGTATTTTAATAGATTTTTAGAATTTATTTATTTCCACATGGAATTTTCTGATTTGTTCACATATCATAATTTATTTCGGTTACAATTGAAAGAAATAAATGCTTCCTTGAAAAAGAAATGATATATTTATAATGTAATAAATGACATAATTAATGAGAGCTCTAAAATTGATATTGATATTAAATTTAATGTTTAAATATTGATATTAAATTTTATTTTTAATAAACCTGTGTAGTACACGGGTCTTACACCTAGTTTATAATGGGTTATGGTTGTTCACTATTCGGATAAAACCGAATTATCCAATTGGACAATTTGGATTGAATTATTTGGTTCGGATATTCGGATTTTTGGATTGGTTTTCAACGAAATCGAATTATTATTTTGGATTTCGGATTGGTTTTGGTTTATAAAGTAAGAACCAAATAGTCCAAAAAAACCGAATAAACATTTATTATTTATCTATATATAATATATATCTATAATTATTTATTAATTTTGTAATTTATTTTTCAAATAAGTTCAAAACGTTTCACCCGATAAAAAAAACATTAATATGTATTTTCTATCAAAAGTTTTGTATCTATAAAATATTTAACTATAATATATCTTCTTATTAGTTGTTTATAAATTTCAAATCACAACTAAATTATTTGTTTTTGTTTTTTGTGTAAAGTTGGGTAATATCATAAGTATATATCGTTTTAAAATGTTTCGATTTTTGAAAACCGAATTATAAAAACCGATCCAACCGAATTGTAATTGGATAGTATCGGATTGGATTTGAATTTAGTTTGGATAATTCGGATCTATGTTTTGAAAACCGAAATCAATTTGGATTTACTTGATTGGATCGGATCAAACCGATCCATCCAAACGAACCCTTAGGGCAACATCTCACCGGAATATATGTGTATTTTTAATAGCCATGTTTTTCAAAACTTCAGTTTTTATTAATGGAGTGGCAAACGAAAAGGGATTTGGTTTTCAGCCCCAATCACATAATATTTAGATATGATTGCATTTGTAACGCATTATGATATAAAATAAAAACGAATTTATATATGACACTAGTTTTTTTTAGAGTTGCCTTCGGTGTCTGTGTGTGTTTTTTTTAACAAACAAAATGCCTTGTAAATATATATTAGAATAGGTAGATCAAATATTTATAGTTTGGAAGAATAACATTTATTATTTTTTTTAATATTTATAGACTGCTAAAATAAATTAAAATATAAATAAATTGATTTTTAAACTTATAAAATAGTGTTTCAACACAAAGATTTAAGTAATTTTAATTTTACAACATTGAAATATAATTATTACAACTACAATAACAATTCTTTAAAAAAAAATTTGTCCATCCACATATTGCAGTGACTACTAATCAATTTCACTAGTGTTATACCCGCCCGTTGGTCGGGTTGATGGATTTTAAAAAAATGGATTGATTTTATTTTTTTATTAAATAAATGTGTTTCTAACATATTTACTAAAAATATTTAGATAAGTAACTAAAGGTCTTTCTTACTCAAAAATTCATATATTGTCCATGAAGATCATCAATATAACAACCCGAAAACCAGATAAAATTTTTCATTTTTCAAAATGGGAATACCATTCATAAATCGTTTAAAAGAAATCCAATACATCAAGTCATGACAAAAGATCAGAGTATCCATAATAATAATTGCGGAAAAAGCTGTACAGTGAATATTGTGCTATCAAGCTAGGTTTTTTCCCCTTAGTACCGGAAGTACCTAAAAGCACCCAAAAAAACTGTAAGCAAATGCTTAGTGAGTTTATCAAAATAACACATACTAATCATACAAATAGGCTCAGTCATGGGGTTTATTTCCAACCCATCACAAATATGGGCCCTTGCCCTGGGGTATATTTCAACCCAACATATCACAGTAGACCCCGCTCTGGGGTATATTTCAACCCAACATATCATATCGGGCCCCCGCTCTGGGGTGTGTTTCAACCCGATCACAACTTATAACGCACGGTAACTAACATTTTTCATAAACAGATAATGGGCCGGCCTTGGTGCCTTCGACCCATAATATCGGTAAGAGACTCACCTCGGTCTGCTGAAAACAATAGCTGCTCGGCTACCAATCTAAAATCTCACACTGTATAAATATACATATTACCTTAATTAGGATTATGACACAACCTAGCCAAGGGTCCAAAATCCTAAGTCCAAATCCCTCCAATATGGCCCAAAAGCCTTTCTTCCTAAATGGGCCTAACATCTAAGGTCCAAAACAATTATGGTCCACAAGGCCCAATAGGCCCAAATGTAACATTTCTGATTTAAGGTATTCTTCGAATCTTTCCTTGGTATTTTAATAAGTCAATTTTGGCCCCTGATATTGGTTAGGACCTAGCCCTAGGGGCAGATTGGTAATTTTTGGGAAGTGAAGTAGTATATTGGACGTACATTTGGGAACACCCCGTGTATTAAGGCACGCCCTAGTACGCTGGGTGTACACTCATGTACATCGAGAGTACGTACGTTCGGATAAAACCCTGATTTTTAGGGTTTGTGGGGTATTTAAGCATCATTATCGGACATTGTGGCTCACTCTTTCAGCCTCAAAACCTCCCTTAGTTGTCTTAAGAGAACCCTAGCCTCATAATGAGCATTTTGAGCTGATAAGTGTGTTTTGTGTGCCTTCAAGGAGAAACTTGTGCATCAAGGAGTCAAGGAGGGAAGATTGGCTTGTAGATCTTGGTTCATCATCTGTTTTGGGAGCTCCAGAAGGCACAAAGTTGCTACCTTTGTGTCTATTTCTTCTAGATCTCTCTTTGGTAGCTTATTTTGCATTCTTTTATCCCATAAAGCCCCCATTATAATGCATGATTCATTTTGGACGTTTTGAGTTGTCCTTCTAGACCCTTGGAGGGTTCTAAGTGATAAACATGATGTCCCAATGGCTAGAAATGTCACATGCAATTGGTAGAAATGTCTTAATGGATTAAGACCATGTATTAAGGATTTTTTGGATGTCCAAAGTCTTAACGTTTGAGACTTTATGGTTCTAAGACACATTTGGTCAATGGATCTAGAATTTGGGCTTAAGTGCTTAAGCCATTAAGCACTTATTGGAGTTTGAATACAACTCGTGTACGCCCCGCGTAGAGAGCGGTACACCCGATGTACGCAGTCAATGTCCTCGTTTTCCAGTCAATGCAAGGCTCACGTACGCCCCGCTTAACTTCGGGGTAAGCCCAGTGTACACCCTCTGATGGGTTTTCACGAGTTGGGCTTCAGATTTGGGCCACCTTTGGGCCTATTTGGTTTGGGCCCTTGCTGGACTTTATGAATGGAAATGTTTTGGGCCAATTATGGAAATGGACCTTTGAATGAGGCCCAATTAAAGAGGTGGGACCCAATTTAGAAAATTAGGCCAATTATGGGCCTTGTATATATAGACCTTCGGATCAAGGATTTGGATTTGGGCCTTTGCCCAAATTAGGGAAAGGGTAAAATGGACTATTACCCTATGTTTAGGCCCTTAGCGAAGATTGATATTCCAACTGTTGGTTAGTGTTCATTTATTGTGATAGTTCGGGATTTTCGGTGAGTCGGTAGCCGGAGGTTTTCAGTTCAATTCGACTTTGTGAGTGAGTTTTTCCTTACTATATTTATGGGTCGAAGGCACCAATGCCGACCCTTGTTGGAGGTTTATCCTAGTAGAATGTTGCTATGATCTGTTAGATCTATGTCCTGATAAATAAGATGATACCATGCTTAGTGATCTGTAAGATCTGTCTGTTTGTCTATAGACTGGTTATATATATATATATATATATATATATATATATATATATATATATATATATATAGAGAGAGAGAGAGAGAGAGAGCGAGAGGGAGAGAGAGAGAGAGAGAGAGTTAGGTTCAAATGTTTATGGCAACTATTGTGTTTCTAAATGCACCAATGAGAATTCAAAAAATAATAAATAATTAAATAAATAATTTAAGGGTATTTTGGACATTTTGCACTTTTTAATTAAAGGATCATTTAATTGAAATCCTGTAATTAAGGAAATAAAATCAATATATTTGACCTAGTCTCTCTTATATTCTGCCTTATATCTTCGAGTCTTCACTTTCCCCGAACTCAAATCGGCCACCAATGGCTTCAACCGATCAACAAAGATCAGCGAAGGTAGTTTCAGGTGTGTCTACATCGGCACCATTAAATCAGATCAAGACTCGTTAACAGGTTTTAATACTGAAACCCAAATCGACAACACCAGGTCTTCTATCATCGATTGATTTCAAACATATTTTGATTTCTCAATGATCCAGTTTCTTACGATATAATTGATTTGGTAAGTTTCTTTCGACATCTATGATCGACAAAATCAAATTGATTTTATCAATTCGTCTAGACTTTATCTTGATTCTGATTCAAGATTGAGATTGTGTTCATCATCTTATTAATTCGATTTCTTCAATGTTCTATTTTTTTTTTTTCGATTGAAGAAATATTCTGATACAACTTGTACTTCATGGTCATAAGTTGGAGTTTGTTTTGAAAAAGTCAAAATTTGTGTTCATATATGTCAATTTTGAAGAATAGATGGGTATAAGATGTCGATTTGTTGTCAAGGTTTGATGTGAATTGAAAATCGATTGAAGAAGGTATCTATAACCACTTGGGTTGTGATGACTTGGTAATGCATTTGGAAGATATGGTGGATAACCTATTGATCCATGTTCAAATCCTGGCACTACTCAGCCCTTGTGGCCATGGAGGTTCGCCTGCAGTGACTCCAGGGTATGAAGCAAAACCTCATGTTTGCAGTGGAGGATTAGTCGGTGCGCGAAAGCTGACCCGGAAACCCTCGTTAAGGAAGTTCCCTTTCCGAAAAAAATATAATCGCAAACAAATGAAAAGTCAATGAAGTTTAATGTGAAGAAGACAATGTATTTTTCATAGCCTATTCTTCTCTGATACATTTTCCTCTTATTGTGATTCTCTGTGAAGTTAGAATATACACCATTCTTTTTATTCTAACCAACATCCATTTTTATCATAATGTGGTTGCTTGTGTTGTGTTTATTTTCAGATGCTAAGTGTTTTATTGGTAGGAGATTCAGTGATGACATGGTTCAAGCTGACGAGAGTTTGTATCCTATCAAGATCAATCACATAAAAATGATTATGGTAGAATCACATAATAATGATTTTGTCGGGATTCTATTGCAATTGGTTTTCATGCAATACAATTCTGCTAGAATGTTAATTATTTGTATGTTTAATGTGCAATTGTTATATTGTATGATTGTGATAGAAATAGCTTGAAAACCTGATGGGAAAGACTTGAAGAATGAATCAAAAAATCATCGCACTTACTGTTTAAGAATGTTGTTATTTTTTAAGAATTACACTCGTTTCGTTATCATAGACCCTTAGATCATGATCTTTGATTCTATCCTCCTTTGAAAATTGGAATAAGTTCTGTGTCGAAGCCATTGCGTTTGCATTAGCCATTTTTAACGAATCACTTTCAAAGAGCATGTGCTCTATATAGCACTATGTTTGAATAATTTAGGAGTAATATGAGTGTGATTTTATTGATCTACCCTGATAAGGAAATTACACACATAAACAAGCCAACTACTTATACTCCAAATAACATAACAAAAAAACTGGAACTTAATTATTCAAAAAACTAACGACTCCTAAAATTACTTCCTTAGACAAGTCGGCATCACACTCATTTAACCTCTGAATCAACATCCAACATATTAACTCTTTTTAATAGGGTAAGATGCCAAAATTGTTATTCCACATTTTCCGGTTTCCTGTTTTATATTGCGTTCTAGTCTTATGTAACCTTCTTCACCCCATTCTGTACCCCATGAGCTTCTCACAATCCAGTAGTCCTTCCCATTTTCAGTCCCATACCCAACTACAACTACACCATGGTTTACTAAATCTCCACATACACCACTAAAGATACCCTGACAAAATATAAAATACACGGATTATCACATATATTTTTTAAAACTTGTTTCACTAAATTCAAAGATTATGAGAATAATCGAGGAAGTACTTAGTACTTACTGAACTGTATGACATGAAATCCGTGCTATTGATAGCAATACCAGCAGATATAGGCTGGTTTGCAACGGCCTTCTGTAATGCTAACTCGCTTTCCTCCAGAAGATATTCGTACTCATCAATGGTAACAAGCGTTGTGTTTTTCTATACAAATTCGAAACAGAATATAATAGTCAACAACTAGACGCATACATATTAAGAAGATATAGTAGAAGGAAATTGATATGATAGGGACCTTGGAAGTGTCGCATTTTCCATCTTTGGCAGTGTAGGGATAGTCTTTGTCACTCTGTATTCCGCCATTTTTAATGATGAAGTCAAAGGCATCAGTAACAAAACCACCATCGCATCCATAGTTAGATGTATCACAATCAATGAGTTGTTGTTCTGATAGTGTTATCAGTTCACCTGTCACTATCTGGTTTATCCCTTCCACTGCTCCGATCGCTGAGAATGCCCAGGAAGCCCCTTTCATTCAACAAACATGAATCCACAGTTTTTAGTTTGCTTTTCTTATCAATTATCGATTAGGAAGATTTTGCGTACTAAAATCTTGGCAACACAGTAAATCCAAATGTTCAAAAACGAGGGAAAAGCAAAAAGCACGAAAATATTTCAATAAATTAAGTAACGCACCGCATTTTCCTTGTGTTTTGACGGGGGCGACGGCACCTTTGACCCTCCAGTCAACGGAATCAGGCAGGACATCGGCGGAAAGAGGAGAGTAACGATCACTCTTCAGCTTGTTCGACTTCCGCTTAGGAATGGCGCGGGTGTAGCGCAACCGGTGTTCTTCAATGGTCAAATCTGAGAACTTGTTGAGTCCAAGCTTGTAGGAATGATCACCGGAGTTGTGAGCTTCTATGTACCTGAGGTTGTCTTTGAAGATCTGAAACCGCTTCTCCTTCTCTCCAAGAGTGTTGTAGAACTTACTATGTTTGACGAGCCAGGACTCGTACATAGCGTTGACTTCGTCGTCGGTGCGCCAGTTCGAAGAGGATGCATCTGAGGTGGTCATGTGGGTGGCGTCGTAGCCTATGATCGACATGTCCATGGCTGATGAGACGACGAAGAGTGCAAAAAGCAAGAAAATCGCCATTGGAAGGAGCTTCATTGTTGGAGCTTCTTGTGTTGAAAAGAGAGAAGAGGAGAAGGTGACAGAAATGAATCAAATGGATTTATATTTTATAATGGGAGGCATGCAAGAGGGAAACGTGTCTCGTGTTATTTTTTTATTTTTTTGAACGACGCAACTGTCACGTGATCATATCTTCATTATATATTTATTTATTTATAAATTTATTAATATTAATATTATTATTGATATTATATTATACAAAATAGCATTTAGTTACCATATCTTCTGGTATTAATTTTGGTTATCCATATAAGTGTCGGTTAAAATAAAATATTGAGTCGAGTTTCAATTGGCACGTTTTATTGACCAAACTGATATTGATACTAAAAATCAAAGTAATTGGAATGGACTTTGACTCCTAGATAGATTTTAGGTCATTCATAATGTATAAGTGAAAGAGTTACCGAATAATTCTTGTATATTCTGTTCGAGTAATACAACGAGTATATATATACAAGGACTTACAATTAACACCTTAAGACTTGGTATACATACTACCACTACGCTACAGTTGCATGACTAAATCTACACACATGTTGATTTATAATTCACATGTGTTTGTTATTGTTATTACCCCCCCAACCCCCCACCCCCGCAAGCTGATGAGTGGGTTGAACGCAAAGCTTGTGACATAACGAGAGAAATCGGTCTTTGTGTAGCGGTTTCGTGAAAATATCCGTTGTTTGATCAGTAGACGAAATATGTGTAACTTGCAGGTGATTTGCCTCTACTTGTTCTTTGACGAAGTGAAAGTCGAGTGCAATATGCTTTGACCTCGTTTTGATGACTGGATTTTTAGTCATAAAAATTGAACCAACATTATCACATAACATGAGTGGAGCTGTAGTCATTGGAACCTGTAATTCAGACATCAAGTGTTTAGGCCAAAGTAGTTCAGCTGTAGTGTATGCAATCGCCCTATATTCAGCTTCAATGCTCGATCGAGCAGCAACTTTTTGCTTCCGTGAGGTCCAACTTATGAGATTGTTGCCATGGTATATGGCAAATCCATATTGAGAACGACTGGCATCAGAGAAGGCGTGAAGGGATGACTTGTTTGTTGGCTGGAAATGTAGACCGTGTGAGATTGTGCCCTTAAGATATCTGAGGATACGTTTGACTGCCTGCCAGTGTTGAATTGTAGGTGCGTGCATATATTGACATACACGATTGACAGCAAAGGCTATGTCGGGTCGTGTGATTGTGGCGTATTGAAGAGAGCCGACCACCTGTCTGTAAAGTTTTGGGTCCGAGAATGGTTCTCCATGAAGAATCAGTCGAGAGTTAGCATCAACGGGTATAGTGAGAGGGGTTGCATCTGTCATCTTTGTCTTACGAAGGATATCTTCGATATACACCGATTGATTAAGGGTAAGTTTTGTGTTGTCACGAGTGATGTGGATGCCCAAAAAATATGTGAGAGATCCCATATCTTTAAGTGCAAAGGTCTTGTGAAGTGTGTTGATGAAATGTTGAATTAGAGATGCATCTGAACCTGTAATGATGAGATCATCAACATACACAAGGATGTAGATGACAGCAGATGAAGAGTGGTGAACGAATAAAGATATGTAGGAGTGACATGCCCGAAATCCATTGGTGATGAGATAACGCTTCAATTTTGTGACCCTTGGTGCCAGTTTCAAGCCATAGATGGCTTTATTAAGACGGCAAACATAATCCGGATGGTTGACATCTTCAAAACCACGAGGCTGCCGCATGTACACTTGTTCTTTGAGATCTTCGACGACTTAAGATGAATTGAAAAGAGTAGCTGGCGACGAACCCAACTGAAGGTGAGATCATACCTAAAGTCCGAACACTAATGGTGAAATTAGGTTTCCCTGATATCGTTTTAGGTGAGGGAAAACTCTAATTTCAATTTCATTGGAGAGGAAGCAAAAACTTTGAATGGTGAGATTCCAATTTACGCTTGGAGGGAAAGGAATTTTCATGGTGTTATAAATTTTTCGATAGAAGGATCAGTTCACCGGGTTATATGTCCAATTTTTCGCGAACTCTAAATATTACACCTTTTTAAAAGATACAAAACTAATTATTTATTTGTGGTACATAGAAAGTGCCATTAAGAACTTAAATTCATAGCATAAAAACTAAATGCCACTAAAAACGTGTGCCACTAAGGTTATGCTTGATACCCGTTTGATTGGGACCGAGTCACAGATTTGGGCTGACTTGGTCATACACCTTGTGTTTGATAGAAGCTTTCTCGGTCAGAATGTCTGGTCCATCTCACTTCCAGGATTAGATTTGAAATAAGGGTGACTGGGAAAAAACGACACTTCTACCCTCTCCTTTTTTTCTTCCCATCATGACCTAAAACCGATACCCAATAACAAAACTTGGCCGCCTCCATCGACAGCTATCCATCGATAGCTCTCCATTGCCGCTATCTTCCTCCAGTCGGACTTCAGTCTGACCTCCAGACAGAAAGACGTCAAGACAGGTAAGCAGAATCCTTCGTTTTTTCCATGAAATCATAAATTCGCCTTCCTTTTCCTTCTATGTATGATTTATGAAATCAGAAATATAAAATTGGTTATGAAATAAGATATTGTTCTTAGTCTAATGTTATAAAATATGAAATTGGTTATGAAACCAGAAATTCATCTTGCTCTAATGTCATGAAATCTGAAATATTTGTTTAAATACTATGAAATCAGAATCATTCTTTGATCTAATGTTATGAAATCTGAAATTGGTTGTATAAATCTTGTTTGTGTATAAGCTATGAAATCATAAATCATTTTTTGGTTTATAAGCTATGAAATCAAAATTCTTTTTGGTTTATAAGCTATGCAATCACAAATTTTGTTTGTTCTAATGTTATGAAATCAAAATCCAAGTGTTATAAAATTGTTTGGGTATATGTTGGCAATGTTGACCTTAATTGTGCTATTAGTGTTTAGGATGATGTTAATTTCATTGGTAGAAAATTATATTATGGTTAAAATTGTTCTTGAACTTGATAAAAGTTATGATAAGTTAGTATAAATATTTATGTTTTAGGATGTTGGTTTGGAACAAGAGTAAGGACAAAACCTTTCTTATACATGCGGTTTTGCCCGTTGATCAACAAACTCGTTATAGGGGAAGAGGAAAAGGTGAATATTTTCAAAATGTAATAAAAATTTGTAATTTTGATATGATATTCACCTTTGTTTGGGCTGGATAGGAGGGTATAGCACATGATTCAAGAGTTTGAAAGAAGTTGCATTCAATCCAACTTCTGGATTTCCATTTCCTCCACCAGGTTTGTAATCTTTATATAACTTTTAGAGTAAATTACACGAATGGTCCCTATGGTTTGGGGTAATTTGTACGTTTGGTTCCTAATTTACTTTTTTAACTCGGAAGGTCCCTTTTGTTTGTTTTTGTTACGCGTTTGATCCCTTCTATTTGTTTTTGTTACGCGCTTGGTCCCTATCTGACCTAAAAAGACTATTATTTGAATATGGAAATATGATGGGATAGGTAGGGTAAGGTGAGGAGAGTAGGTTTGAGAATGTGTTTATTTAAATAAATTAAAAAATCAGGTGCAAAATAGTCTTTTTAGGTAAGACAAGGACCAAGCGTGTAACAAAAACAAACAATAGGGACCTTCTGAATTAAAAAAATAAGTTAGGGACCAAACGTGCAAATTACCCTAAACCATAGGGACCATTCGTGTAATTTACTCTAACTTTTATTATCTGTTTTCTTTATATAATATATGTCACACTTATTTGCCGATAAATATTAGCCTTGTGACGCTGCATATACAAACACTCGCAGGTTTATGGCTTCATATCGCAATATTAGGTATTGGTTTGCCGATTTTCGAAGAAGCAAACCCTTAACTAGAGAAGAAAGGTTCAACCATGCTCATGCACAACTTAGAAATGCTATTGAGCGTGCTTATGGTGTATTGAAGGCGAGATTCCAAATGTTAAAACAAATGGCTCATTATCCTTTTATAGTACAAAGAGACATAGTTATTGATTGTGTCACGGTCCATAATTTTATAAGGAAATACAATATACAAGATGATGTGTTTACAAATTTTGAAGAGAATACTATGGTTATCCCTGACGTCCGGGGTGGAGGAATTGATAAAGAAAACATACAAGGCATAGAATGGGGTCCAAAAACCGTTCAATATATGTGTGTTTTGCATGATCAAATTACAAATAAACTACTTTCACACACTTTAAATTAAATTATTATGCTATTTTAAATTTAATTATGTTTTTATTTGGATATTAAATTATTTTTGTTTAGTTAAATTTTGTATGACAATTTTTATTTGGATTTTTAAATGAAGTGTGTGCAATTTACATTTTGTAGGACAATATGTATATTTTTTATAATTATTCAGCAACTTCATCCATCATTATATATAACAGCAGGGTAAAATTGTTATTTTTCATCATACAACACATCCTTGCACCAATACTTCCTCACTTCCTTCCAATGGCACCAAATCTACCCAAAATGAGACAAAACTACCAAGAGTGAAAGGATTAGAGTTTTTCTGAGGTTGAGGGGGGGGGGGGGGGGATAGAGGTTTAGAAACAAACCCTAGAATCGAGTTAAATGGGCTTAAATATCTAGGAAACCCTAAAAGATCGTAGGCTTGGGCTGCTAAACTTCTCACATCGTGAGCATGGTCCGTGCACTCTTCCTTCACTATTACCTCTCACGTTGTGACACAATCTATCACCTCATGAGGACAAGTTTTCGCCGAATTACACTCCAACTTCAAACAGTCAGAACTTCTTCGTTTCAAATCCAATTTTGACGTTCTTTATTAAAGGGTTTTACATGTATTAACGCAGATAAAACATTAACACTTAAGCGTACATGCAAACTAAAGATCTAAATCATAACACTATTGATGTAACATTTTATTGAACAACGACATATTAACATTTAGTAATTTTGTTAATTGTAGAAGGAAAAACATACCTTTTGAT